GAGTCTCTTCCTTGGGAGACGTTAAAACCCCGCCTGGACACGTTCCTGTGTGACCTGTGTAGGTGATCCTGCTCTGGCAGGGGGGGTTGGACTAGATGATCTTTTGAGGTCCCTTCCAACCCTGACATTCTGTGATTCTGTGATTCACCACTGGGATAACAAGTGGTCTTCACCCTCAAGCCCTGTTAATTGAGGAGAGGGCAGTGAGAATGGCAACAGCAATTTGGAGTGACCCATAAGAGGCTTTAAAAGCCAGATAGCTACCTGCCTCTCGCCCCACAGAGCCGCTCACTGGCCAGGACAGGCCCAGCAGGACCAGGCTGGAGAGTAGACTAGTCAAAGGGAAGGGTAGATGTTAAAATGCAGCGAGGAGACACCAAAAACCCATCAGGATTTATGACTTTACTCCCTTTGACAGAAAAAAACCACAAGTGCTGCTGCAACAGCGCATTGTTCGTTGTTGAGAGGAAGGTCCATTCCCCACCTGCACGATGACTAGCAACAGCATTTACTTTCCAAGAGGCAATTAAATTAAAATATTGCCACGTGATGAGGCACAGCCTGGCTCTAGGACTGGCCGGGGTGTCCTGCTGCCCATGCAGCCCTCTATGTCCCCTGCCCCAGATGTCATCTCCCACCCATGCTGGCTCCTCATTGGCCTGACTGGAAGATCAAACCACCTCTGCCAAAAATACCATTTTCCTTGGCAAACCTCCCTGATGCTGAGGCTGAGCCCAACCTGCATCTGCCAAAAAAATCTAATGAAAACTTTTGAAATTAATTTGGCCCTTTCTGTGCCGAGGGGGATATGCCAAGTACTCTGCTCAGCCAGGGCAGGGATCAATGGACCAGCCCTACCTGTGGGTCACCCCAGGCCCTGAAATGACCTTAAGATCCTCCTAATAGAAAAAAAAAACCACAACAAACAACCGACCCCGAGTTAAAGCACTGCCATTTGCTCATGGCAAATCTGGGGCTGGCATAATCCCCCTGCCATCTGGACTAAATTCAACTCTTCCACCCTCGTGCTCGCCCATATGCGCACAGGACTGGTTAAGCTAAAGCTGAGCTGAGCCACCAGGATGTGTTTACTGCTGCTAATCCCTACGCCAAGAGCCCAGCTCAAATCCAGGAGCAGTGCTTAAATCCAGTCACCAGCATATCCCCCCTCACCCCTGCACATTTATAGCTGCAGCAGTGTTGCTGATGTGGGAGGCCAGCTTGGCTGCAGGGACGGTGGCACTGAGGAGGGAGGACAAGCTCCTAGAAATGGGGACACCACCAAGACAGGTTGTCCTGGGAGCGCAGCACTGTCAGCAGCACCGAGCAGATGCATGAAGAGCTGCGGGTCCCATCTCCACGGGGGGAGACACAGGGACATCATCTGTCCAGGCACTGCAGGGGACGTTGCTTGGGTTGCCCGAGAGCGGGGCTTTGGGGCATCTGCTGGCTGCAGGGAGCTCAGAGGCACTGGGAGGCACTGGGAAACTGCGGCCAAGATAAGAGGGGACCCTCAGGGCCAGCACAGAGCTGCAGCCAACCCCGCACACAGCGCTTGGGTGCACATTTGGTACCCCTGCGTCCCCACCCCCACCCTGTGCTCACCCTTGCAGAGCATCCCCACTGGGACAGGGTCTCAGTTTCTTTTCTCTCGTTGCCCTTTCCCAGCTTCAGCACCCAGCTCTGCACCCCAGGGACTCCCAGGCACAGACGCCACGACCGCTTCCATGGGACCATCATTCTCCAAACACTCTCCTCAGCCCCAAACACACTCCTCAGCTCCCCCGCCAGGGTCAAGGTGACTTACCTCGGGGCTCCCCTCTCCAGGAAGGGTCCCCACGGGGGTCTCGCCGTCAGCATCCATTGCTGGGAGAGGCTCAGTGAGGGGCAGGGGAGCGGCTGCAGCTCTGCCCGTCGCTGCTGCCTCTTCTCCCCCTCACTCCCACAGCTCAGAGGAAACCACAGACCCTATCTCACCGTGGCCATTTTAACAAGCGGAAATGTGCGCAGGCTTCCTTCGAGAGCAGCTCGGGGACACCCCAGCCCTGCTTCCCACCGCCCAGTCCTGCGCGGGCAGTCCCTCGGCAATGGGGAGTTGGCCCAGATGAGATGGGGACAAAAGGAAAGTGTCACATGCAGTGCCTGATAGTATCTCTGAACAAGGAGTTAGGAGCAAGCGGACAGAAATAGTCCTGAGAAGGCAAAGCTCAGAAGGGAAAGGAGGTGGTGGGGAGGGTGAGTGGGGGACAGCACTGAGGATCTGGGTTCCAGTGTGTAGTTGGGATTCGTCATGCCCTGCAAGTGCAGACGGGGACCCAGCAGAAAGCTGAAGTCATCTTCAGACCCAGTAGATGGAGGGGATTTGAAACGGGGTGCAAAAGCTGCAGGGTGGGAAATCCTTGTGGCACCCAGGCACATTGGACAAGGTTGGGCTGAGAACTGACGCAGTTAGCACACGCACTGGGGACAGCACTGGGAAAGGACACGCAATCTTTTTCCCTGAAACGGGCTGTCTAGGCAGAGCTGGTTACTGAGAAAAAAAAGCAGCAGGAAATGGTGTTATAAAACTTGCTCTTTACTGTCAGCCTTCATTCTCGTAAACACTTTATCTGATCGCGACTCGCAAGGCAAGCGCAGCAGCAGCCTCCCCTCGAAGATCCTATCGAAACGCCTGTGCTGATGGCAAAGGGCAGCAGGGGGAAAGCACGGGTGAGCATCAGGAAGAGCCACAGGAGATTGCCAAGGGAAGAGCTGGTTTGCTCCTGGGTGTGTAACATACATGCACAGCTAGATCAGGCGGACCCACAGCCCGGGGAAGGACGTCAGCCTGCACCCAAGGCTTGCACGTCACTGCCGAGGAGCCACAGGCTCTGTGAAGCAGGGCTGGGACCGTGGCTGACACTGCGCTTCCCACTGAGGGGAACTTTTTCTTATTCCTGCTCCCCCACAGACACTCTTGGAAGACACAAACAAGTCGCTTCAGCTGCAATGTGGGGAGCAGAGGGTCCAGGTCGGGTTCAGTCATCCTGTGGAGCCTGTCAGGGATTTCTCCTTAATCCAAGCAGGAAATCACAACCACGGAAACAGCACTGGGAAGTTTGTCCCCTCAAACTACCCTACAGAGAGATGACTCCAACAGCAGGGAGGCAGCCTGCAGCACACTGCCTCGGCCCAGAGCTTCCAAGAGCTGCGGGAGGATGCCGGCAGCAGCATCCCTCTGAGAGGACAGGACAGAGGCAGGCAGCCAGTCCCTTTCATCCCTGCAACCCTCTAGCACTTTCATTAAGGTGAGTTGCAGTGTTCCCTCTGCCCCAAAAGCCTATTGGCAAACATGGTCCCTTAAAGTTAGGGGACCAGGAGATGGAAAAGAGCCTAATGGCATCAGCAGTGGGTAGGTGTGGGGGTCGGGTTTGCCTTATCCAGGGCTGGGGCTGCGAGAGGCTGCACAGCACACACATGCAGCGGGCTGCCAGGGACAAGTGGATGCCCGGCTCTATCCAGAGATTCAGTGAGACACCAAAAAGCTGAAATCCATCCCTGCTCCCACAGCTACTGCTCAGCCTCATTGCTTGAGACCTGAAAAGTGCTGTTTGTTACAATTCTGCTCTCTCCTACATCAGAAGGGCTCTTTTGTAACTGACCCCAGGCACTGGCAGAGTAGCCCCAAGGAACTGGGCTTCAGCATCCCTTCCCAATTTGGTGCTGGAGTCATCTCCTAGCTCTGCGGCCAGTGAGAGTCCCCGTCCTCTTTGCTGGCAGAGATGCTCAGAGGTGCTTGCCCAGCTTTGCCAGCCTCAGCCTTGACTTTAAACAGCCTAGCATTTGCTTCATCTTGGACAAACAATTTTAAAAGCATCTCCTCCCTTGTGGATGGAGGGGGACATGGTGGAGGAGCTGATTTCTATTCTGCATCCCTCTCCCTTGACACATAAAAATACTATTTATTGATCTGGGACATCAACGCTCCACTGCAAAACATTGTCAGTGGAAGGTAGAGATGGAAAGTGCACGATGGCATCTGAAAAATGATTGCTGTCATCTTCGCTTTTAGCTTTGATTGCAAAAGCAAAATCTGGCCCAGCAAAGAGCAACCACAGAGATAAAGGCAGAACGAGGACAGAGCATCCCTGAGCTGCTCACACCTCTTGCTGTTTCTTGCCAACAGAAAACAACAGGGTGCAAAGAAATGTCTCTTACCTCAACCAGAACGGAGAGAACAACTGGTAAGAGTTGGGCTAATCCTGAAAGCCACCTCCCTTCCTCTTTTAATGCTGAGGAAATAAAATCCACCACAATCATGAATATCACCAGGCATCAGGCAAGCATTCTCCAGGCAGAAGCTGTGCTGGGATTTTGCAGGTTTTAGAAAGAAAAAGTTCAGATTTGGTACGGTAGCATCTGTTATAAAGCACTTTCTGCAAAAGTTCCCCAGCTGGTCACTGCATTGCTAGGAGCTGGTTTGCAACCCCCAGGAGGAGGCCGGTAGGGTGGGAAGCATACAGCCTCATCCGAGGCCAGCACGGTCCTGATGGATGGCATCTACAGGGCTCACATCATCCTGAGCCTCTGTGCATGCAGAGGGAGAGTTATTGGGTGGTCCTGTCTGAGGAGCTGCAAACATCCTCTTCGCTCCCTGGGTTTTACCAGCAGCCGCCTGATTCACAAAATACCAGTGACAAAAATCACTGAGCTCACGTATTTGCACCTCGAATCACTCCTCATCCAGGAAACAATCAGGAAAGCCCTAAAAGC